CATTGATTTGCTCCACACAAAAAGGAAGTCGAGGGATTCACCCCATTTTATGGATAAAGAAATGGAGGCAGAGAGAAGGCCTCGCTGGAGGTCGCAGGGTTACAGGAGGAGCTCATTGGCATCCCAGATAATGGAACTCCAGGCCTGTGCTCTCAACCACTATTTTAGGTTCTTAGTAAACCTTAGCAAACATTAGCGTCCCTACTTTAGAAAGACAGGAAAGGGAGGGGAAGAAGGGGGAAGAGAAGAGAGAAAGGAAAGTAGAGAAACCCTTATAGTATCACTTTCTTGCACCAGAAGCTGCCTGGGGACTCTGCCTGTGATCTGTAATTTAATCTTCCTAACAGCCCTGCGAGGGCGGAGCCTTAGGGACACTGTGGGCCAAAGTGAATGGCGCTCAGGGCTCCATCCCAGTCCCTCTCATCTCCGGCAGTGGTCTCTCCGTGTCTCAAGCCCACTTTCCAACTAAAAAAATCAAGTGATTTGGGTATTTTGTAAGTATATAAGCATGCACTGCAATTTAGTTAAAAGGGATCCATTTCTACACATCAGAGAACAGTACAGGCAGGGGACGGGGGCGGGGCAGCCAGGTGATGGGCTATAGCTCTTCCTTCTACAGACTCCGCTCCCAGGCCAAGTTTTTAGGACACAGTGACCCGCCATACCAGGTTTGGTGCCTTCCACACAGGAACTTCTTTATTAGGCTCCGCCTCCTGCCCCACCCACGCATTCCCTCATCTGGAACTAAGAGGACTCCTGTCTGCCCAGTGGCCTCCTGGAAATGCTGGCACCCACCTCCAGGCACTCCCCGGGCCCTCGGGAGGTCCTGACCTCCAGGCCCAAACACAGCCGGGTGACTTGAACGTCCAAATCTTACTATTTATTCACTTATTCAGCAGCTATTATTGCGAGTTTCCTCAGTGCCAGGCACTGGGCCCACCCTGGCAGATTCATCCCTTGAGCCCTCTTGCCCCTGGGGGAACAGGAGTGAATGACAGAGGGTTTGGTGGCTTGCAATTAGAAACAGGCCAAGTGACAGAGAAGGGACTACTGATGGCCTCCGCCTGCAGGGGGCCAGGGGAAACGCGGTGAGGTCCACATTTTATCACAACACCGTTTGCTCATGCAAATGCCCACACCTCATCGACAGTGACTTAAATCACGCTCGCTCTGTCTAATCTAGGGAGGATTTCGAGCTTAAAGATATTGAATGAAGAAACTGGGGGAGGGGCCGGTTCTTAAAGGCATCCTGTCCATGAACAGAAGTTTTGCTTATGTGATTTCCTTCTTTTCAAATGCTAAAAGCAAGAGATTGACAAATTCTGTCTACAAGAGCAGCATGAAGACAATTACAAAAATAATCCATCAAATAAGAATGACAGTCTAACTGATAGGATTATCTTCCAGGTACAATGATATGAAGTATTTAAATGAGATTTGCAATGGTGGCCTGTGGATAAGGAAGAATGAATGGGTTGCTTGTGAAGGCGACAGGTGTGACGCAGGGCGCACTGAACTGGGGACCCAGGCCGCTCTCCTCGAATGTCATGAACAAACTGCACAATTAACAGTGAGTAATGCAGTGACCCTCATCTTCATTGACGTCTTGGAAAAAGGATACAGGCCAAGAAACCCGTGAGGGTGTTTCTGCCCTAAAATCCTATGAGTAAAAATAAGGGGTATTCTCTCTTGCATATTGCAGTTCAGACTGTGGTCAAAGGCAATGCTCCTTTCCCCGCGATGATGGGAACGCTCCGGGGAAAGCAACTACTCGGGAACATTCAAAAGAGGGCATCGTCTTGCTTCCTCTTACATCCGAAGGAAAAGGGTCTCATTCCAACCATTTAAAAAGGCCTTTTGAATACAGGCCTATCTTTCATCTTCTTTTTGATGAAAAAGAATAGGAAAAGGAAGTCTAAAGACTATGAATGGATCAGGAGGTTAAATCCTCCAGAAAATGACTAGGTGAGAAAGGGTGTGGGGTTAGAAAGAGACATCGTCCCAAACCATCTTGACACTCGGATTTCCTTTGTTGTGTGGCTGTGCAGGCGATGAGTAAAGGAAGTCCTTCCTTCCGCGTATAACGTGTCCCAGACGCTGGCGACACAAGGCTGCCCGGGAGTCGCGGCTCAGCACACGGACTCTCCTAGGAGTCCAATCGTGATAAATGAACAGACGTGCACCATCATCCCAGGCGGGTCCCGGGAGGGATGTAGAGGATGCTGCTGTGCAGGCGGAGAGGCAGGAGGGAGGCGCGGGGAGGGGTGGGGCCTGGGGAATCGCTTCTTTGTGAGCCCGATGCTGTGGAAACTGTCTTAGGAGGCCACACCTACCTGAAAACTAAGGACCCGAAGGGAGCTGTGGCGAGCAGGACAGAAGCGTAAAGGGGCAGAGGCTACCCACGCGCCTAGGCCCTTGTGCAGAAGACGGCTGGGCCTGAGAAACTAGAGGCTGTGCACCCGGACTTACTCTCAGTGCCGCCTAAGGCGCACCGCAGGCCCGCGGAAGTCAGCAGATGATGCCCTGGCGGCTGTGGGAGGGATGGTGGAAGGAGACCCTGGGCAAGCACAGGGTCATAGCGAGGCATTTGGCAAAGACGCTCAAGACCTCCCGCGGGAGCAGGCAGACGGGGTCAGCCGTAGCACGTTCGGGTACACTTGCTGCTAAGTGGAGAGGATGCGAACAACATGACTGTACAGTTCAGCCTCATCTTAGGGGGCGCTGTCTCCTGGCAGGGCCCCGTCCAGGTGCACACATTGTATCAGTGATTGGACGGGACACAGGCCTGTCCAAGTTTATCTGACACCGAAGGAGGGGGATCAATATGTCAGATACAAAAAGACTGAAAACAATTTCAACGTGGATGACGCAAAGGGGCACTGTCCGGAGGTGACCAGGTGGGTAAGGCGATCCTCTTAGCTCAGGGTGATGGTGCGATTGGGGGGCTCAGGGTGCAGACACTGATGAGAAATCAATCCTCAGATTTCACGTCACTGTGTGTTCAAAACAAGGTCGGAACACAGGACTGGGGCCTTAACAAAAGTGACTGTCGGTGTCGGGGGCGTTCCTGAGAACAAGGCCCCAGCGTGGGCTGCCACTGTCCCCGTGTCCTTCTCAAGGTCAAAGCGCCCGCGGGGAACTGAGTACAGTCCTATGTGGTCACAAGGAGCATGACGGGGTGTGCTGAGTAGAAGAAGGCTGTGAATTAAGTGCCTGGGAGGGAAAAGGGCCATGATCACAGCTTTAGAAGCCCGGCGAGAGCCTCACAGTGAGCGGGCACAGGGGGGCGTCAGCTGTTTGAAGGCGGAGATGTCGGGTGAGCTTTGCGCTCTGGACCAACCGGGCGGTCGGGGTGGGTCTGATGGGTGCTTGCAGGGGAGGCCTGAGCTCTCTGGTTGTAGAATTTTCGAAGCTGGGTGGTTGTCAGCCCAGGATTCCGGGGGCAGGATGCCCACGTCACACTTGAGGGGGGATGAGCAGATGGGTGCCAGACACCGGCCCTCAGGCCACCTCGCCCACAAAATGAGTGGCGGAGCTTTTGCTGTGGCTAAACCACAGCATTTCAGTGAGCGTCTGTCCTTCAGATGGGCCTTTTGGTAGCAGAAATGCCTGGATTTCTACACCAGGGTAGTCGTACGCCTCGGTAGTTTGCTTTTTAAATGTCATAAGGGCGAGAAACTAAGAGCCGGTAATGCAAAGTCAATCCCTTTGTTGTGGTTAGCACTGTTGTTTTGAAAAACTTCCTACATGATGAAATCCCAAAATCAAATAAGTACAAGAGTAATTGAATACAGAGATTTTTCTACACTAAGCGCCATCGATTCTATGATTATTTTCCAAAATGAACCCAACAAAATTCATCTGTCATTACTAAGCAGTAAGTATGGCTATGAGGCATGTATTACACCAAGAGGAATAAGCATTAGCTGGACACATTCCCTCCATTATTCTGCACACCCACGCGTGTTGGGAAGACATCAAGTGGTCCTGGAGTCCCACACATGCCCAGGACTCAGCAAATTCATTTCCCGGCTAATAAAAATGCCACCAAACAGCAATAATAGATTCAGCGCTGGACAGTAGGTGTACTTGATGCTGGGTTTCCGGAGAGGATTTTGTTGATGAGAATATTCTAGTGTTACTGCTCACAGAATTTGTAACTATAAAACCTTAGACATTACCGCCACACTCTGTGAGTGGGGATTTTACACAAGGAAATGTATGATCATGTGCAAATACATAAATCCTCAAAACCGGTGATCATCAATCCCCCAACCTCTGTGCTCACTCCCTACCCTCCCCCCCACCACCCCTGGGGTGCTCGCCTGTGGGTTTCATTTACCCCACACTACTCCTGACTTCCACTTCCTCCCATATCCGACAGTCTCCCGAACTTTTATGAGCTGGTGGTCTTAAGAGATGGCAGGTTGTTTTTTAAATGCTCTAAACTAGGAATATAAAAGGTATCATAGAAAGGTAACTTTCATTGTCTTCATTTTCTGTTATCATAGTTGTTTTAAAAACGTCCTTAACTTTTGTAAGAAGAAAAAACGAGAGGATTACAGAATTAATAGATTATCATGGTCTTCTCTCACTGAGCTTTATGGTTAAACACGTCACATTTAGTAGTAAGTTAATGGCAGTTCATTTGCTTATTTCTACACACGCTTTATAGTGTGTAACGTTTGTGCCCGTGAACTTACACGTGTGTACATCAGAGCGTGTGTTCATTGATGTGTGTACTGAGAAGCGTATAACGCAACCATGACATAATCCAACCATCTCAATGGTCAGAAAAGCAGAAGGCAGCTACCTCCCCACACGGATTTACAGTTTATCCTACGAACACGCTATTCCCAGAACGCGCGAGAAGGGTGAGCCGGCGTATAACACATGAAAGCCTCTTCGATTTCTGAAAGACACTGTGTGAGGGCGGATGGGTGCCGCGGCACAAATACCCTACGTCACGTCGTTGGCTGCGCGACGCAGCGGCTACTTACAGGCGAACCGCAGCGGTGCCTCTCTGCTGACCACGGTCCCGAAGGCGTTGGTGGCCACGCACTGGTAGGTCCCCGCGTCGCGGGTTCTGTTGGGGCTACTGATCAGCAAGCTGCCTTCCACCACACTGTAGCGGAAATCCATGCCCGTGTCAACATCCGTTCCATTGAACTTCCACCTGCAGAGGGAGAATGCCGGGAGATAAAGCCTGAACAGCAATCAATGCTTCCGAACTACCGTCCACAAGGCATGACAACAGGAGGAGCAGGCACCAGCCTGTGGCTTTCTTTAACAGGAAAAGAGTGAGAAAGCTGCCCCAGCAGCAGTGACGAATGTCTGCAGGGAGAGCGTGTCCCTTACAGACACGATGGCGGTCGCCTGGTGGCACCTGCTTTAACTACTGATGACGCCACAGAGGGTTCACTGTGGGTCTGCTTTTTTGCTTATTAATTAAGCCCAGAGCATCTGCAGAAGTTTCTCCAAATAGGGTCCCTCTGTACCCCCCTCTCTGGTTTGTCGTTATTCTTTAAAACATATTTATTGATTTCAGAGAGGAAGGGAGAGGGAGAGAGAGAGAAACATCCATGATGAGAAGGAATCATTGATTGGCTGCCTCCTGACACCCCTCACTGGGGCTGTCCCGGACCAGAATTGAACCTGGGACCCTTGGGCCCGCAGGCCGATGCTCTATCCACTGAGCAAAACCAGTCAGGGCTGGTTTTTGATTTTATATAATAATTTCTACAGGGAGAAATAGGAACATGTTGAAGTTACGATTTCTTAATGTGCATACTGAAAGCCTATAGAATAGTGGATAAGAGGATGGACTTTGATATAAGACAGACATGGCTTCAATTCC